CAAATATATAATTTGAATTTATTGCTTATAATTTTAGTGAAACAAAGTACTAATATTAAATGTGATGAAATTAATATAATGAATATTATCAATGATAACTCTTTTAATCTGTATCATAGCTTTTTAAATAATGACAATAGGTATATGAAAGTTACTCGAAAGTCTAAGCTAAGAGGAGGTGCCAGATAGCTAATTTCAGCCGATTATCACGAATTTTAACCTTACATATGGCATATAAGATGTAGGGGGATTTTAAAAGATAATTTTAGTAAAAAAATGCGCCTTATATGCTGTCAAATACGGCAGTTAGCTTGGTAATAGTATTATCAATGACTCTCTTAATTAAAAAAAAAAAATAGAGTTCCTTCCCCTTGATTTCCCAACTTCCTGCCGCACGGCGTATTTCCCTCGTTAAGCTTCTCGGGTTAATTTCTTTCGGATTTCCGCTTTGCAATTTCCGTCTTTTTGTTACCACATTATCCAGATTATTTAATTTCATCACTAGCTTTATTTTGATATTTTACTTGCAACTTTGGCAGCCTTTTTTGCTGACAGTCATAGATTCAGTTTTCTAACAGTTAGTAATTCATTCTATTTCCTTTCCTTGACAAATCACCCTTTTAATTATCATAACACATAGGATCAGTAAAGTGCATCATAAAAAAATACATCTCGAGTTCAATCGCCTTACATATCTCAAATGTCTTTGATAAGATGTGTCTTAGCGGATTACGACGTAAATTGTCCAGCGATAGCATCTCTGGAAGTGGTTTCTCTTTTATCAAATACTTCTACTCAAGTAGGTTCCTGTAGTTTTTTGTTAATGACCAGTCCTATTTCTGATTTATATTAATGATCTGCCTAAGAATATTCTCAGAGACAGTTAAAATCTCTAAGGTACATTATGAGGAAAGACGGCTTAGAAAATGTTATACTCACAGGATAGATTGTGGGGGTAAAAGGAACAGAGGAAAACAACACATAACCTACCTAGTGAACATGAGTAAATGGATCAATGAACAGTAGCTTCCTAAAGTTTATTGTTAATGACCAGTCCTCTGATGCCCATAGCACCAAGGCTTTCTCTTCGACCCTGTCCTATTTCTGATTAATATTAACAATCTACCTAAGAATGTTTTCAGAGGCAGTTGAAATCTCTAGGGTACATTATGAGGAAAGACGGCTTAGAAAATGATATACTCACGGGAAAGATTGGGGTGGGGGTAAAAGGAACAGAGGAAAACAACACATAGTGAACGTGAGTAAATGGATCGATGAACAGGGTTTAGGAGAGATAACAAAAAGGCAAAATTTATTAATAGCTACAAAAGATAGGAAATTGTGGAGAGCCATGACCACCAACGGCCTGAAGGAACATGGCACGTAGAAGAAGAAGAACGACCTCGTGATGACAGAATATGGTTTAGGAGAGATAACAAAAAGAGAAAAGTTTATTAATAGCTACAAATTAGAAGAAATTGTGGAGAACCATGACCACCAACGGCCTGAAGGGACACGGCACATAGAAGAAGAACAACAACTTTCTGTAAAGTGATGACAGGTCATGGTTTAGGAGAGATAACAAAAAAATAAACATTTATTAATAGTTTCAAAGTACAGGAAATTGTGGAGAGCCATGATCGCTAATTTTTGTACATTTCTCCTTGAGCTCTCCATCTTTTGTTTACTTGCATTTCTTTCTTTTGTTTTTGATAAACTTAATAAACTTTTCGCCATATTTTGGCGTTATTTCCTTTCTGGATTTTATCGCTGATTTCAACTGTCGGCCATTTTATTTTTATTTTTCCCTTGGGATGATGCCTTTTGTTTTCGTCACCAGAACTTCCCTTAAGAAGTTTCACTTTGAGATCGTCATATTTTCCAATGTTTAATAATTGTTTTTAACTCTCTATAAGTTTTGTCGTCTTGCATGTTAGGCGATGCTTCAGGATTCTTTTAATTTTATGTTTAGTTCTGCATATGACTTGGAGGTTATCGCTTCAGGATTTGGCACCTGGATATTTTTAAGAGCAGAACTGCGTATTGACTTTAGATCCGCATCTAACCTAACAACAAGGTCCTTTTAGTTTAACTTTTCAATTTATCTTTTTCATTGTAATTTTCTTCTTTTTTAAATTTACTTCTTTTTTCATCTTCTCCATTTTTTTGTCTGTATTTCTTGGATGAGGTTTTATTATTATTACTATTTATATTCGGACTATTGTACATTTGTAAAAAAAGGATTAGAAAAAAGTAAATCTATATTTTTTAAGGTTTTATTGAAATTTTATTTAAGTTTCCACATGTCCTCCATCATTAGCAATACAAAGGGTAACACGATTTTGCAGTTCACGGAAAACATGCCAACTGATTTACAGTAATGCCGGAAATCACATTAGTTAGTTTAGCTATACTTAAAACTAGGTACATTAAACTTTATAACATTTTTTACAGATTATTTCTATCGCAAATACAAATAAAGTTATAATTTTTAAAGTACACATGAACTTTATGGACACCCTGTATATATAATAATAATAATAATAATAATAACAATAATAATAATTATATATATATATATTCATGCACGTTTCATTAAATAATATAGACAAGTGTTGTCTATTTATTTTATGTAAAATTTTTTCGTAACGTCTGATAAGTTTAATAACATTAATACACACATAATATATATATATATATATATATATATATATATATATCGGGATAACGTTCTCGGCTGCCATGAAGTGTAAAGACTATTGAATCCATTGCTATGTCAGCTGCTAAGTAAGTCGGTACACTTTGTCAAACAAGACAATTTTTCTCTCCAGAATCTATCTTGCATATCTTTAAGGCTACCATTCGTCCATGCTTAGGATATTGCTTCCATGAATGGTCGGTGTCCCTGCTATTTGCCTTGATCCAAGGAAGTATCAGCAATATAATTGGTCCTGATCTGGCATCTCGCCTTCAGTCACTTTCCCACCGCCGTAAGATGTGTCTTTTCTATAAATACTTTCATAGTATTTATTCGTAGCTCTTCGCTATAATACCTAGACATTTAAAAAAAAAAAAATTAAGCGCATTACTAGACTGGCGTCGAGATCTCATCAAATTACAGTTGAGCTGGCGAGATGTAACCGTAAGTTCTATGCTAACAGTTCCTTTTTTCGCACTTCCGGCTTCATAATTTCCAACCAACATTAATCTGAAAGAATTTAAATACAATGTCAATCGCTATTTGACCTTCTGATTACTCTTTCCTCTTTCCGCTCATCATTAATGTTTCTGTTCTTAATTCTTTCACACTCAGTAAACCCTTGCGTCTTAGTGGCTTTATTGCCTTGCATGGAGTGATATCGATTTGAATATATATATATATATATATATATATATATATATATATATATGAGTGTAACCCGGATATAAGAGACCCGGATATAAGAGAGATTTTCTCTGGTCCCAAATTAGAGCTTGCGTTACCTAAACAAAATAGACCAAACCCGGATATAAGAGAAACTCGGATATAAGAGACTTCTTCTCCGGTCCCGACAACGCTCTTATATCCGGGTTACACTGTATAGTGATTTAGTAAGCGTCGAAAGAATGGGGCACCCAGTGAGGATCATCCTCACCATTTAGTCGTAATTGATCGACTGAGATGAATATAACTGGATCGTTAATTCCTTATCTATCCCTCTCTTTTATTTGTCCCTGGCTCTCTTTTTTTCTTCATCTCTCTAATTTTCTATCTTTTTCTTTCTTTCCCTTCTTTCTTTCTCTTTATCTTCTCATCTCTCTCTCTATCTCTCTCTCTCTCTCTTGCTTTGTCTTCCTCTCACTTTCTTTATCACTCTTTCTCTTTCTTACTTGTGGTCTTTCTCTCACACACTCTCCTTATGATTGCCTTCCTTCGTCTTCTTTCTCATTACTTCTATCACGTTTTTATCGCCCCCCTTTACTTTCTTTATCTCCCCTCCTTTCTCTACTCTCTCTATCTTTTAATCTCTTTTCGTCTCTCTGTCGTGATATCTCTATTTTACTCACTCTCTAATCATTTTGTCTCTATCTCTCTTTTCTCTTTCTTCGTTTCTCTCTCGTTTCTTTTCTTTTTATCTTTATTTATCTCCCGTTTTTATTTTTATCTTTCTCTTTCATTGTCTCTCTTTCTTCCCCTCCATCTTTATTTTTCTGTCTATCTCTCTCTCTCTGTCTCGATTTCTCCTTCTTTCTGTTTTTTTTTCTCTATCTCTTTCTTTTTTTCCATACCTCTCTCTTTCTCTGTGTTTATTTACCTTATTCGTTTTCCATTACACGCCATTTGAACCAGGAGAGTCCAGCACGGTGGGCGCCATATTGTATTGTCTGACATTGAAAATAATGCCGAAAAATACTTTACAAAACACGCATAAAAACAATACGTATTTGGCTGCTTTTTATTTATTTATTTTTGTTCTGTTCACTCTAATGATTTCCTATTTTGGCTTGTTAGCACGACAAATGCTCCAAAAACTGACGTAAATAAAAATAAAACCATTAGAGTTCGAAAAGTCTTTTATCTCTTCCATTATTCTGACCTTCGGTTATTTAGGGACTTAAAAGGTTGCTAAATGTTCGGTCGATGTCATATGTTTTCCAGGGCTTTAAATTCACACTGTGAACTGTCAAAAGCGTTGAATTTTGAAATGTCAAAAGCCTCTACTCAAATATGAATATCCACAAAAATAATGTTTAAGAAATGATAATGCATACATACATACACACACAGAATATATATATATATATATATATATATATATATATATATATATATATATATATATATATATATATATATATATATATATATATATATATATATAGTGCGTATCATAAAATACTTTTACAAACCTTGGGGGCGGAATTCTTACAATTAAACAAAGACAAAAGTCCGTGCAAAGATATGTCCGCAAAACCTTCGTATACCGACTATATACGCGTATGATAACGTACATATACACATGATTATCTATCTATCTATCTATCTATCTATCTATCTATCTGTATGCACTATATATATATATATATATATATATATATATATATATATATATATATCATAAATTAGCTGATTTAAAATATGTTTTTTTCGCTACACAGTAATAACCATGTTTCAAAAATGGAAGCTAATAACTTTAAATTTAATTATATAATTAAATTAAAAGCATTAGTTCCGTTTCATCTTCGAGCGAATAATGGAATAACTTATTTTTATAAATTTACTGAGTTTTAAACACACCAATAAATTCATAATTTACTGTTTCCATGGATACAGAAGAATCCAATCATTCAGACAGGGGATGTAGCATGTTCAAATTTATTAACTATTGTTGTATCAATTTTTGAAACATGGTTATTAGTGTGTAGCGAAAACACCATATTTTAAATCAGTTAATTTATAATATTTATGCTCTGTAAATATAAATTTACATTGAGCTCAGTTTTGTAAAAATAAAAAATAACAAGAACACCAGATTATATATCTTACTGTCCTTTCTTTATATATATATATATATATATATATATATATATACTTTATTATCGAATATTACATTCAAAGATGTAGAAACAACACTACATAAATGCACTCATGTTTCGATGTGTATAAACTCATCTCATCAGGTGTTAGTAAATGACTGATTCGTACAATTATTAGGATTTAATTACATACAAACTTTTTTCCTGTGAAAAAAGAAAGAAAAGAAAAAGAACAAGAAAGAAAGACACAAGATATAATCACTTTTCCAGAGAAAATGAAAAACAGAAAAAGGAAAAATATAAGGTAAGTATAGAAATGTAAAATAGCAAGACTTGTTATGTTTATAATCGGTTCAACCAATCAAAATGGCCTATACATATTTATAATCGTTTCAACCAATAAAAATGGCCTATACATATTTATAATCGGTTCAACCAATCAAAATCGTCTGTGCTATTTAAGCGGTCATGAAACACAGATTTAAAATTGCAACTAATATAGACTTCATATTAGAAAGAAAACTTCGCTACAAAGTTAACATTATTTCCTGTGAGGAAGAAAACGTAATTTAACAAGACTTTATATTAGATATATAATATGGCTCTTTAAGAAATAAAAGAAAGAAAAGGAAAGAATATATTTAACAAAATAAGGAAAACCTATACATCAAAAAAAATATTTAAATAAATGGAGTAAACAAAACTTATAGCATAATAATAGAATTATAAAATAATAAAATACATAGATCTTACTCAATGAAATGCAACTGTTAACTAAAGGGTTTTATATAGGTTATTAATAAAACAAATCAATAGAGAATGATAAAACCTCAGCCAAACGTATATACCTCTAGACTAAATATTACCAGTAATGTTAGAAGAATAACATACAAACTATACAACCTCGAAAAAATCTAACTAAAGATAAGCTTTATATATTTACAACAAGGTTATTCAACACATAAATCTAGCAAGATTGCAGGATCAAAGGTAAAATGTGTTTACAATTGACCGTTAATTCAAATCTTTGATTTAATAAAACCTCCTAGTTAAAAATCTGATGATCTGCATTTTCTCCTGTAAACAAAACAAAAACAAGGTTCGAATAAGTATCTGCATGTGTTACCAGTTTTAAAAGTTTCCATTTAACTTTAGAGGTTTTATTTTCTTTCAGCTTCCCAAAATATTTTGAAAATGAAATATTATTATCTGTAAGTGGCACTAGTAAAAGAGGATAGGTGCTGATAACAGCGGTTTTTGAATGCATTCTTCGTACTGCCAATATAAAACTTTTCAACCGTCGAATTTTCTATTGTAGAGATAGAACAAAGATACACAAGGGATTCAGTTAAACATTTTTTTAGTCAATTGGCATTGGTTAGAATTCAAACAATTAAATTGGTCACTGTTCTTAACAATATTTACATTAGTGCTTGCATTATGGTTAAAATTATTAAATTGGTTAAGTGTTCTGTTGTCGTTCAACTTTATGATTTTCTCAAGATTATTGGTGAAACTATAACTAAGTTTTAATGTATTCCTATTAAAAATTTTACTAAGAGGGTTGCTTTTCGGAAAATGAATGTCATTAAATTTGAGAAACTTATGGCCTAAATTCGTACTAACTAATGGAGATGTGTACCAGATGATCTTTCTGTTTCTATTTCTTTTCTTTGAATTGCCATCTTTTATGATGTTGGACGGTTTCGCTTGTCACTTTTGCTATGTCACGCGAAAGTTTTCTCGTTATATTTGAGAATTCGTAGACGCCGGTACTGGTACTAATGCCTTCCAATAATATTCGCACTAGTAATACTTGTCAAGTAGTAATCGCCAAATGGTATAATGATCAGAAGAGAATCGTAATCCGTAGAGTAGAGAGATTAAATGTATAGCAAAAATGGATAGACAAGAAGAGTGAACGGTGATCGTTACGCTACTTCGTATTTATTCACTTCCTTTACTTCCCTTACTTTCTCTACGTGATCTACTTAATAATGGCATCGCCCATGTTACTCACTGATGATCTAGTTTCAAACCACAGTGTCGGCAACACCATCATATTCTCTAAACAATTTCTAACGTCTGATGAAATGTGTTGACACACGTCAAAACCTGAGTGAATTGATGTAGCGTTGCTTCTATATCTTTGAATGTAATATCCTCTAATAAAGAATATTGCTCTGCTATTGGATTATATTGAGCTCTATTTTAAATTAATGTTATGAACGTTTGAATTTATTTTCGATTTGTTCTCATTTCTTATACAAAATAAATTCCAATAACCAACAAATACTATTTTAAAAAGTGCTCAATACAGAGTAGAGCAAATATAATTATTTATTCGAAAATTATAACATAAATATGTTATAAAATCACTACAAAAATAGCCATTTTGTTTCAACACTTCTGGTGTCTTATCAAGTGATGGTGTTGAATGTAGAATAAAGAGTTTTAAAAGGTTCAAATCATTCAAATATCCCTCGCTAGGGGAGACGCTGTTACATAAGCTGGAATGACCAATCAAAATAGTATACGAGAATTCAAAAATCTTCAACGAACTTATGTTATAATAATTATTTAATTGTTTAATGTTAGGATTAGACTAAAATAGAATTCATTATAAATAATTAATATTAAATTATACTATAAAATTAAAAATTAAAAAAATTACTAATTTTAAATTTAATTTATATTAAGTTTAAAAAATTATAAAATTATTTAAAGAAGTTAACTGAGGAAAAATACATGTTTTGTTATTTATCTTGTTTTTATTGAAAGGTCAAAAATTAATTTTGAATAAACGTGAAAATTTAATGTTGCTCTGAGCTCCGTTAAAACTTAGATACATTTGAAGTGAAGATATGGGCAGGAGAGGGTGAAATCTTGTAAAAGACAAATACATACACAATCAGATTATAATACACAAACATGTAGACATATTTATATATATAAACACGCAAAAAAGAAAAGGATGAGACAGGAAATACGTGTGCACGACCTATAAAAGAAACAAAAAAAAACAATATATATATATATATATATATATATATATATATATATATATATATATATATATATATACACAAAACAGGCTCACATATATACGGATATATATATATATATATATATATATATATATATATATATATATATATATATATATATATATATATAAAACACGCTCATATATATACGGATATAATATTATTTAAAAATATTTTTTTTTTCGCTTGAAGATGAAATGTAACTAATGTTTTTAATTTAATTACAAAATTAAATTTGAAGTTTTTAGATTCCATTTTTGAAACATGGTTATTACTGTGTAGCGAAAGAAAACATATTTTAAATCAGTTAATTTATAATATTTATGTTGAGCACTGTTTTGTAAAAATAAAAAAAAATATCAATAAGAACACCGGATTATATATCTTAGTGTTCTCTTTTATATATATATATATATATATATATATATATATATATATATATATATATATATATATATATATATATATATATATATATAATTTAACTGTATACATAATCAACTGAAATATTAGATATAAATATACTTGAAATATGAATATTTATATATGTATATGCGGGCGCGTCAATTAATTCATTAATGAGAATTTCAGTTGTATGGGTATAGTTAGCGTAAGTGTGTGTAAATCTCAGCAAATATATTTATGTCCTGTCTAAAGACACAGGGTAAAGTGTGTGTTTGTTTGTGCAGACGGATCGCTAAACACACGAGAACCAAGAGGACGTTGAATCTAATGAAAAAAAAATGTTCAAAAGAGATAAAAGGCCTAATTGCTTTGAGAAGTGGTAAAAACATGACTGTATCGGATATTAATAAGGACAAGAATACATATGATATAAAAAATCAATATATATATATATATATATATATATATATATATATATATATATATATATATATATATATATATATATATATATATATATATATGTGTGTGTGTGTGTGTGTGTGTGTGTGTGTGTGTAACAGACAATGAATGTTTGATCATGAGCCATTCTAAACTCCGTATGTTTGTTTTTATTTCCGGTGAAAAATAAAGACAAAAAAATTATCCAACGTTTGGATATATTTTATTAAGCTGTTCCTTGATCTAAGCTTTCGACTCACATGAGCCATCTTCAGAGAGGTTATGCGGACATTTAAACTCAGATATTCGCCATCGATTGCGTCCAACATGAAACAGCCTGTCGGCTCTGAGTGCTGACTTAAATGTTCACTTTTATATATGTATATATATATATATATATATATATATATATATATATATATATATATATATATATATCATTCGCAGACAGTATTGTTTCACTGTATCACACAGCTCCTAAGTGCGACTAGACACCCGAATACTTCAATCCCGGATCGAAACCCAACTGATCAGTAAGAGTTTCTACCACTGAGCTATCTTCATTCGACAGAGAGAAACAACTAAATCTAGTGTATTGTTTTCACGAATGTAAACAAATGTCAATCAGCCGGAGTGCTCCAATTCATTTTACTGAAGAGCTTTGCATTAACGCAGGTGGCTGTTGTTTATAGAATGAGGTTATTGTGTATTTGGGAAGCATTACTTCTTTTATACAAATTTCGTTACAAAAGACTGACGAGGTACTGTGCTTAAGTTTTCTATTTGTTTTTTTTTTGTTTTCTTATAAGTTTCAAATGTTGTGTATGCCCGAGCGCTTTCGGCCATACTGTTAACCATTGTCAAGGATGCTTCTATTTTTACTTTCAACTGAATTCATAGAAAGCGATCGGATATATACAAACTTGGGACAATTTCTACATAAGAAGAAAATTACAACAACTTCTGATACTGGTACAAGACAAAGGTGGTAATGAGTTACTTTAGCGAGCAAGATTTGGAAATTATGGATTGGCCACCGCAAAGTCCTGACTTAAATCCAATAGAAAATCTTTGGAAGACCTTAGGAGTGAAAGTTATGGAAAGAAATCCCGCTAACACGGAGGATTTGTGGGTGAAGCTTCAAGAAGAATGGTCTAAAATTAGTATCGAGGATTGTCAAGAACTGATTCGTTCTTGTAATCGAAGATGTGCAGCTGTCATTGAGAGCAAGGGCTCTTTTAATAAATATTGATTGTACATGTATTTTTATTGTTTTTTTGCCGTTTACATTGTTTTTCTCAATTTTGTCTCTTACTTCTGTACGTTCCAAATTTGAAAATAAATAAATAATTGTTATAATTCTTTTTCTATCCTTTGCAAATGATTCAAATTTTAGTATGTTGTTATGGATGATAACGACTACCAGTTGTCAAAATTTCAGCTTTTCACAGTTGTTATTTCTAACAAATATTAGGTTTTAAAATTTTGTCCCTTAGTTTTGGACGCTACTGTATATTCATATATATATATATATATATATATATATATATATATATATATATATATGCATTTCATTCAACTTTACTCCTGGAGGCCGTAGCCCTACATATCATACCATTTTGGAATCAGGCTGACTCCGTGAGCAATTTAAAAACATTCCGGGCCGTATTCGGAATCGCAATCGTAACGTGGTCACAAAGTGAGTGATCAGTTTATATATTGATTGCAATATAGAATTGATCCCCCACTTTATATTCACATTATCATTTCTTGTTTGTTTATTAAATTCTAATTAGTTATGAATCAATCTCTTCTCCATTTGGCCTAATTACTAAGATTTGTCTCAGTAAACCATTATTATCTAAAAAAAAAAAAAAATTCTTACAATCTAAAAATTATTTTTTGGCTTTAAATAACCTGTAAAGGGTTGATAAACGGCAGAAAACGAATCAAATCAATTAATTAAATACTGATTAGCTACACGGGTATGTCGTAGATTTATTTATATTTACGGGAATATAAATATGTAGAAACTACTATGGTTATAAAATGAGGGATCTGTTTCTATATTGATTTTAATATACATTAATTCCCCCACTTTATATCCACGTTATAATTTCTCGTTTGTCTATCAAATTCTGATAAGATATGAATCCAACTCTTCTCCCCACGGCTATGGGCTAATTAGTAGAATTTGTATCAGGAAACCATTAATATCTCCCCACCCACGTCACAAAAATTCTTACAATCTAAAAATATTTTCTGACTAAAAATAATCTGCAAATGGTTGATAAGCCAGAGAAAATGAACTAATCAGTCCTCCATTTTATCCAAAACATTTCGTCTGTCTTTTCCAGATTCTGAGTAGAAGGATTCTGTTGCCATTCTGCCATTTTCTTTTAGACATCTTTGTTGCTTACTCACCCCGTTCACATTAAATTTTCAGTATCCTTCTATAGAACCATATTTCTATTGCACTCTCAGCATTTCGTGTAATGAACCCAAATCATCTCCAAACAGATTTCTTACAAAGAATATATATTCTATTCATACGAACCTATCCTAAAAATCTTGTCGGCATTAAATAACCCATTGAGGTGTTGATATTCCATAAGACAAAATAAACCCAAATCATTATTTCCAAATTGATTTCTTACAAAGAATACATATTCTATTCATACGGACCTATCCTAAAAATCTTGTCGGCATTAAATAACCCATTGAGGTGTTGATATGCCATAAAACAAAATAAACCCAAATCATTATCTCCAAACTGATTTCTTACAAAGAATACATATTCTATTCATACGGACCTATCCTAAAAATCTTGTCGGCATTAAATAACCCATTGAGGTGTTGATATGCCATAAAACATAATAAACCCAAATCATTATCTCCAAATTGATTTCTTACAAAGAATACATATTCTATTCATACGGACCTATCCTAAAAATCTTGTCGCCATTAAATAACCCATTGAGGTGTTGATATGCCATAAAACAAAATAAACCCAAATCATTATCTCCAAACTGATTTCTTACAAAGAATACATATTCTATTCATACGGACTTATCCTAAAAATCTTGTCGGCATTAAATAACCCATTAAGGTGTTGATATGCCATAAAACAAAATAAACCCAAATCATTATCTCCAAATTGATTTCTTACAAAGAATACATATTCTATTCATACGGACCTATCCTAAAAATCTTGTCGGCATTAAATAACCCATTGAGGTGTTGATATGCCATAAAACAAAATAAACCCAAATCATTATCTCCAAACTGATTTCTTACAAAGAATACATATTCTATTCATACGGACTTATCCTAAAAATCTTGTCGGCATTAAATAACCCATTAAGGTGTTGATATGCCATAAAACAAAATAAACCCAAATCATTATCTCCAAATTGATTTCTTACAAAGAATACATATTCTATTCATACGGACCTATCCTAAAAATATTGTCGGCATTAAATAACCTATCAGTCTCTGTAAGCCTTTTCATCTCTCTATCAATCTGTCTCAGTCTATTCCTTATCTATCTATATATCTATCTATGTATCTATCTCTGCCTTTTCATCTATCTATCTAGCTATATATGTATATAAACCTGTTCGTATGTATCTATTCATATATCTGACTCAGTATGTTTGCATCTATCTATCTATCTATCTATCTATCTATCTATCTATCGCACTCTGCATCTATCTATCTATCTATCTATCTATCTATCTATCTATCTATCTATCTGTTTCACTATGTTCGCATCTATCTATATATCTCATTCTGTAAAAAAAAGTAATTAATTATTTTAACTTGAAATAAATATACAAAATACGAAATACACCTATATTTGAAAAACATTACATTTTTAGGGTTTTGATATGTCGTAAAAAAATAAACCCAAATCCTGATATACAAACTGATTTTTTAGAAAGGAAATATGTTCTATTCATACGAACCTATCTTAAAAATTATGTCGGCATTAGTGACCCATTGAGATGTTGATATACCTTAAAAAACAAATCAACTCAACTCTAATAACACAGTCAATTCTTCCACAAATTATCTCAAATTTTAACAAAATGTGTGGATACTAAGTTGACACTTTGTGATTTTATACGAGTTGGTCTGAAAAAAGTTAATATTTAGTTTCGCTGTATAATACGCTCCACTTGATTTGGCGCTAAAATCTGAACGCAGGACGTTTATAAAACGCAAACCTTGGCGGGTCTGATTGCGTTCCTTTTGGTGATCAAAAGGAGGTTGAATGTAATGATCTGTGAAATGAAAAACGTGTTCAAAAGGGGGGATAAAAACCCTGAATCACTCTGAGAAGCGGTAAAAACATATTTGTTTTGGAGCCTAAATAAAAGAAGAATAGACATCTAATAAAAAAATCAATATATATATATATATATATATATATATATATATCTTAAATCTATAAAGTCATGAATCATTCATACAAAAAACAAATATAGAGGTTAATGATTTAAATCTATTTCCATACCTGAGGATGTCTGTAGGAACAGACGAAAGCTTGTAAAAAATTAAAAAGACCTTATGCAACTGGAATTTATAAACAGGGATCATATCATTCATATACAGGTTCGGGGTTGGTGTATCTTATTTATATTGTTTGCGATGTTGTATTCTCGCCATTTAAATCATTAATCTCTATATTTGTTTTTTTGTATGAATGATTCATAAATTTATAAATTATAATTGCACCTTTAATTGAAATTAAAATATCTTAAATCATATATGCAGGAGAGTCCAATATATATATATATATATATATATATATATATATATATATATATATATATATATATATATATTGTCTTAAAAGAATTGTTGAACTTTGTCCATTTCATAATGTGTGACGTTATTTGTTTACATTTGGATACGCTTTGAGCAGATATGAATATATGTGAGAGAATCATGGAAGATTCAAGTTTAAAACAGTAAAATCGACCTTGCTAACCGAAACGCTCCTCTGTGGCGAAATCGGCACAAACACGTCAGGCTATATGACGGTTCCGTATAGGATACAGGTTCGATTCCTGTCGGAGGACGCATATTTTCTATGACAATTTCTCGGACATTCAGGCCGGTAAATATTGTTAATACAGTTTATTTTAAACAGAGCATTTACTTAAATATTTGCATCTATAAAAAAGAATGTATAAACGTAAAAATGTCTTTATATATACATATATATATATTGTAAATCATATATGCAGGGTGTCCCACCGAAACTGGAATTTTTTTGTAGTCTAACAACACAGACGTTCTAGGTAAGATGATAAACTATATCGAACTGCAAGGCGTCTTATCAGGAGGTACTGCGGAGTGTAGAACCACCTTTTAATGTTGGTTCCTGAAATGTTCAAACCTGATGTTTTCAAATTTGTTAGGTCAAGGCTTTTGAAGAAACTGCATGATGTTTTTATCCGAATTTGGCAGGAGGGCTCTGTCCCTAAAAACTTCAAGGATGCGCTGATCAAGCACCTGTACAAGAATAAAGAGAACAAAATTGTGTCTGACAATAACGCTGTTGTCCATTGCAGGTAAAATACTGGCTTACCTTATTCTCGACTGAAATAATCAATCATCTCTTGAATGATATTTATCTAGAATTTGGCTTTTGCTCTGGCGAAGGAACCATTGACATGGTATTTGCCCTTTGTCATGTTCCTGAGAAGGCTTGGGAAAAAAAACCAGGAACTGTGCCTGGTGTTTGTAGATCTTTGAAAGATGTGTGTAAATGTATATATTAGTGTGGGTGTGTGCATAAGTGTAATACCTCCACATTCATATCTGTCTTGTGTGGGTGAGAAATATGGGTAGGGCTTGATTTATGGGTTTATATATTAATTCTATCTATGCTGTTAAATTTGTGATTAAGACCTACCCATATTTCTCACCCACACAAGACAGACATATCTGCGGAGGTGTTGAGGTATCACACACTTATACTAATATATACACTTATGCACACACTTATACTAAAATATACACTTACACACATCACACACACTCCCGAAGAACTAAATGATAACATATTCTTATCACAGACACATCCCCTTCCCAGGACCTAATAAAACTGTCAAAATGACCAAGGGAATTCAGAGTAGCGTGTATCTAGCCAGGCTTTATCTTAAAAACAACTTAAAAGAGACCATTTGACCAACACAACGTCTCACCAAAATTAACGATAAAAAACAAATGAAAACTACAGATAAACTTCATTTTCTTCAGAAAGTCATTAATTTCTGTAGTTCACTGATACTAAGAAGAAGAACGTTTTTTGGTCGAAACTAGTCGAGGAATCTAATTGAAATGATAAAACAAAAACAAAAATATTAGAGTCTGTCTATATTTCTAAGATGAGGTATTATGTACATTTACATTATTCGGACTATTGTCCTCATCTTTGTCAATACCCGGTTAAGGCAGTGGAGAACTTTCAGAGGGAAATTAGCAGGAGATAACTGATAACTGACATGCATAAAAAATCCCAGTGAGCGAAATAAAGGGTTCAGTTCGAAATTCCAACCACCTGAAGAAGGCCGGAGCGTAAAACGGCCGAAACGTTGTGATAAATATAGCGACAAAGATGAGGACAATAGTCCGAATAATGTAAATGTAAAAAAATATTAATATACAACCCAGTGTGTCTGCAAATTTCAATTTTTAAATCTATCTATCTATCTATCTTTCTATCTATCTATCTATCTCTCTCTCTCTCTCTCTCTCTATATATATATATATATATATATATATATAGCTCACTAAACATAATGCTTCGCAACAATCTAATCGACGAGGAAACATGCACAATACTTACACCCACAAACATTACACCTGCTCGTTTCTATATCCTTCCTAAAATACACAAAAGCAACAACCCAGGAAGGCCGGTTATTTCATCGTTCAACTGCCACACGACAAAAATTTCCAAATACATAGACCATTACATACAACCGCTAGCTAAGGAAGTAAAATCCTACATCAGAGACACAACAGATCTACTGAACAAAATTAATCACATACAAACAGTACCAGAGAATGATATTCTAGTGACTATGGACGTTAGGTCACTCTATTCAAACATTAAACACATCGAAGGGCTAACCGCCTTTCAGGAAGCACTTACTAAAAGAAGAAAACAAGACCCCACCACAGAAGTCATCATAAAAATCATGGAGCATGTCCTTACATTGAATACTTTCAACTTCAATGGAGCACACTACCTTCAAATAAGAGGTTGTGCCATGGGCACCATTGCAGCTCCATCATATGCTACAATATTCATGGGAAAATTTGAGGAGACCCATATCTATCCAATCATTGGTAGCGACTGCGTATTCTATGCAAAGATATATCGATGATATATTCTTTGTATACACAGGTAGTGATGACAAACTTACCCAATTCCTTATGAACCTAAACACAGTGCACGACTCAATTAAGTTTGACTATGAAAATCCACAACATCAGTAACATTTTTAGAAACCCGCATTTACATAGATGAAAACAGAAAACTACAAACGACACTACACACTATAATCACCGACACCCACAACTATCTACACTTTAAGTCTTCCCACCCTAAACACCTCAAAGAGAACCTTCACTATTCACAAGCACTTAGACTCAGAAGGATATGTTCCAACAATGAAGAATTAAATAAACACATTGAAAATCTGGGGCATCAATTCAAAACACGTGGCTATAAACAACACCTAATCAGGGAACAAATAAATAAAGCAATTTCTACACCTAGAGAAGACACCCTAATGTACAAGATTAAAAATAAATCTAGACACATTCTTCTAGTAACCACTTTCAAACCCACTTTGCCTCCACTATCCCAAATAATCAAAAGTCTCTGGGAAATACTACATCTCAAACCAGGCCTAAGAAATTGTTTAAGGAACCCGGCCTTCTTGCATATCGTAGACCTATGAACCTAAAAGAAATCATAGGTAGTAACCACATTTCAGGGGACAAGGTAATCCGTAATAAACTAAGAACAAAAACAACAGGATTTTCCCAACCATGTAACACCAAAAGAAGTTTATGTTGCAACCATATTAAAAACACGAATTCATTCACTAGCTCAATCACTAAATCTACTTTCAAAATCTACCACGATTCTAACTGTAGAAGTCATAACATAATTTACCTCCTAGAATGCACACTATGCCAGAAACAATATGTAGGAAAATCTGAATGGCCCTTTCACTACAGAATTAATAATTATCGCAATCGAATTAAGTCGACTCCCCATGAAAAATTGTTACCTGTAGAACAACATTTCCGCCTGGAAAAGCACGATTTCAAAACCCATGCCAAATTCACTATAATTGAGAGAATAGAAAAGTTCAGAGCAGATAACATTAGAAAGATTTTAGAGTCCCATGAAAAGAAGTGGATACAACGTCTAAAAACAAAATACCCAGCCGGGCTAAACCATAAATTTAACAATACAGATAGTACCAATATATAACTCAACAAATCAAAACCTACCCACATTTCTCACCCACACAAGACAGACATACTTACGGAGATGTAGAGGCCTTACACTTATACACACACCCACACGAATATACACACTTACACACATCATACTCCCTAATGAGCCAAATGATAACACACACATACAGCAATACACACGCTTACACATATCATACTCACTCACTACATAAGAACCAAATAACACACACACAAATACTAAACAGAGACCCATCCCCTCAACAGATCCAATAAAACTGTCAAACTGACCAGAGAATTCAGAGCAGCATGTATCTATCCAGCTCTTATCTCAAATAACAACTTAAAAGTGACTGTTTGACCAACACAAGGAATGTTAAAAGATTCATGTTAAAAAGATAAAATAAAAAAACAAATGAAAACTACAGACAAAAGTTCATTTTCTCCACCAAGACATTCATTTCTGTAGTTTACTGCTACTAGCAAGCAGAAATATTTCTCCTCCCGATGATGGCCATTTTGGTCGAAACTAGTCGAGGAATCTAAATGAAATAATAATAAAAAAACGAAAGAATATTAATCTACAAACCCAGTGTGTCTAAAGATTTTAATTTTTTAATTTTTTTTTTTTCAATTGTTCAATATATATATATATATATATATATATATATATATATATATATATATATATATTTACGTTAAAAGGTTAAAAGGCAACTCTTTAGTATACCACCATTATATATTGCACACGAAAGTTTATGGTAATAAATAAACCTTTGTTGACAGCATCCTCTCAATGAGTCATCCACCCAAACATCTTTTAACGTTCCCGTAAGCCAATATAAGTCGCTTCCTCTGACTCTTTGTCGTAATTTTAAGATTGTTTTCTTGTTTATTCGGTTTGAGGTCAGACGAAACACGAATCCATGGAAATGGCCATTAGATCCGATGAAGAACGAAGTGAACAGGGAATATATTTGTATTTACCAGCCGGAGGCGTTGTCTTCCAACGCGAACTTATCGCGAAAATATTTGGCAGAGTGTGCAACTGATAAATTAATAGTTACAGCTTTCAATATTGTCGTCTGCTAATTGAATGAGTGACATACGTCAAGTAAGATCAGTGTCCACCTCCCTACCTACCCACCTCTCACACTACCTACCTATCTACCTTTCTACTTGTATCTATAAACACACCCTACCCAAGACACGGCATAGTTATAGACAGATAGAAAGAATAGGTGGATCTCTCGGACACTTATCTGTGAGCAGGAAATAAGGCATTGTCTTTAGAAATTTGCAAGTCGCTTGCCATCACCGGCAAGCAATTCGTAAAGCAGTTCAACTTTACTTTCATAAAATTCCCAAAAAAAGATTCAAAATATCAAAATAAAATATTATTAATAAAATATTAATAAAAATGAAGTAAAAATTAAAAAATAAATCAAAAAATAAAATTAACAAAAATAATAAAATATATTAATAAAATATTATTAATAAAATATTAATAAAATAATGAAAAATAAAATAAAAATAAAAAAATTAACAAAAATAATAAAAAATTATAATAAAACATTATTAATGAAATATTAATAAAAATAATGAAAATAAAATGAAAATAAAATTAACAAAATAATAAAAATATTAATAAGATATTATTAATAAAATATTAATAAAAAATAACAAAAACAAAAATAAAGATAATAAATGAAAATAAAAAAATAAAATTAACAGAAATAATAAAAGATATTAATAAAATATTATTAATAAAATATTAATAAAAATAATGAAAATAAAATCAAAATAAAAATAAAATTAACGAAACAATACAAAAATAATAATAAAACATTATTTATTCGAACTATTTCTATGACCTTCCTCATTTTGGATGTCAGTATTATAGTGGTACTAGACAACGTTTCGGCCAAATCCCACTGGCTATCTTCAGGTATCCATAGTTTTGTTGATATGGGATATCTGTCGATAATTGTGTTATTTTCTTTCTAATTCCTGTTCTAATCCGGATTATTATAAATGTTACTTGACACGACGTTTCAACTCAGCAATCTCTGGTTATCTTCAGATGTCCAATTTTTAGGTGATATATGATATTTCTAGATTATTGTGTTATTTTGATGCTATTGTAACCTAGGAAGGGTTACTGAATTAGGAATAACCAAAAACGGGGGTTGTAAATGAAATGGATAAATCCAATCCTTCTTCCCCCAGCTATGGATAAATAGCAGGACAGACCGGGTTCTATAGCCTTGGATGGCAACTGGACTACCGCAGAAAGTAATCGCAACCTACGGCGGGAAAAATATGCCTCGTCAGTCATGTATCGAAAGATACATGATCGTCTAAGCGTGTATCACGCATGGCACATATGTGAATCTTTATAACGTCAACAAAATACAATACTCGCCAGCGGTGTGAAGTAGGCAAACCACTGCCAGTGGTGGACTACTTAGACACCATATTACCCCAACTTATAATAGTGTCCAACATTTTTATGAGGATTGGCACATACCCATTAGTATTCATATGTACCGCATATAACACTATCTATCTATCTATCTATCTATCTATCTATCTATCTATCTATCTATCTATGTCTGTTTTTATCTATCTATCTATCTATCTATCTATCTATCTATCTATCTATCTTAGTCTCTTTATAATCTATCTATTTCGTTATCTGTTGTAACATAGAAAATGTTATCGAATGAGGAATAACCAAAACGGAGGTTGGAAATGAAATGGTAATCTTTATAACATCAACAAAATACAATACTCTCCATACTTGTTATCATCTAATTTATTATAAATGCTATTATAGTTACAACGTTTCGACTAAGCATCCTCTGGTCATCTTCAGGTATCTGTTTTTGGATTATATATAATATGTCCAACGTATTTATGAGGATTGTGACATACTTATTAGTGTTCATAGGTACGTTATATAACACCCGCCTTTTTAGATTTACTCTGCACAGAGTCAATATATTTATCTGTTCTGGGTGTAAAACAAAGTTTAGTACATGTTGTAATCTAGAAAAGGTTACTGAATGAGGAACAACCAAAATGGAGGTTTGAAACGAAATGGTAATCTTTATAACTTCAACAAAATATAATACTCGACAGCGGCGCGAAGTAGGTAAACCACTGCTAGTGATGGACTACTTATACAGCGTATTATCCCCCACTTACGATAGTGTCCAACGTATTTATGAGGATTAGGACATACCCATTAGTGTTCATATGTATGGTTTATAACAGATACCAGTACTTGTTATCATCTAATTTATTATAAATGCTATTATAGTTACAACGTTTCGACTAAGCATCCTCTGGTCATCTTCAGGTATGTGTTTTTGGATGATATATAATATCTCTAGATTATTGTGTTATTTTGATATCAGTTCTTGTTCTCATCATGTTATTATAGAAACAACGTTTCGATTAAACACTCTCTGATCATCTTCAGGCTTTCATTTTTGGGTAATATCGACTATCTGTTTGTTATTGTGCTATTTTATTTCTAATACTTGTTGTACGCATCATTATTATAAATGTTACTACAGGCCAATCGTTTCGGCTAAGTAATGTTTGGTCATCTTCAGATGTTCATTTTTTGGGTGATTCAGGATATCCCTAGATTATTGTGTTATTTTAATGCTAATTCTTGTTTTCATTATTATAAATGTTATTACAGACAAAACGTTTCGGTCAAGTACCCTTTGTCCATCTTCATGTATCCATGGTTTTACTTGACCAGAAAAACTGGACATTAACATCAATGGGACGCAGCTAAAGCAGATCAGTGAATTCAAATATCTGGCCAGGATATTTACTGAAAACGGCAAACTAGACAGAGATATTGAAACCAGCAATATGAGCACTGGTAAAAAATGATTGCTGAAAACATTAGGTTTATAATAGCCCAGTGAGCGAAATAAAGCGTTCAGTTCGACATTCCAACCACCTGAAGAAGGCCGAAGCGTACAACAGCCGAAACGTTGTAATAAATATGGTGACAAAGATGAGGACAATAGTCCGAATAATGTAAATAGTGTACATAATACCTCATCTTTATGAATTTCGTTTATGACAAACTAGGTAATCCGTATGGGTAAACCTAAGGAGGATAAAATCCAGAGAGCTCAATGTAAATCCAGAGCAAATAATTTAAATAAAAACAGACCACTGTAAGGTTCCATGGAAACTTAAAGTGGTCTGTTTTTATTTAAATATATATATATATATATATATATATATATATATATATATATATACAAATGTAAAAAAAGAAAAGAATATAAATTCAAACGTTCATAAGATTAATTAAAAAAATAAGCTCAGAACAAGAAATAAAGCAATAAATATTTATAAACAGTTACATTGGAACATGCAAGTAACCACGGCAAAAATGCCTATTTGTTTCGACATCCAAAGACGACTTGTCAGGCGGTTAAAAATAGTTAACCGCCTTACAAGACGTCTTTGGAATATATATATAATTATTTACCCATAAGCCAGGTAAGTATAAAAAACAAACAGGAAAGTTTTTTTTTTGTGATGCGTTTCATCCATTAGGATTTCATCGGACTGGGCTTTGATGACGTTGCCACGCGTAGACATGCGCACAAAAAAAATCTTTAGAAAGACTATTGTTTGGAAGAATTTTTTTTTTCAATCTAGCCAAAATCATCTGTATTCTTTTTCTACATCTCTCCACCAGCTTTCTTAAAAGAGCCTCATCAATATATGGAAAGTAATCCTTGGGTAAAATGTTTTGGAAAAAAGTAGACTCGAGAATGTCTAAGAAAATACAAAACGGACTACAGTTTTTGACAAAGGGAATGCTACTTTGATTAAAAGAGAAAATAATCTACTGGGACGAAAATGTATGGAAAGTGCCTTGATCGCTAGATCAGCCACGATAAATTTTCGTCCAGGCTCTTACAATATATCACCATTCTTGGTCGATGTTATATTGTCACAGTGTGGGATAATCGGAATCAAAGGTGGTGGAGAGATAAAGGAAAAGAATACAAATGATTTGGGCTTAATTTAAAAAAAAAACTCTTTCAAAAAATATTCTTTCAAAAGATTTGGAAACTACCTGCGTCTCCCGTTTAGTGCACATGCCTAGACGTGGCAACGTCATCAAAACTCTGTCTGATGAAATCCTAACAGACGAAACGCATTACAAAAAACTTTCCAGTAGCCCTAAGACGTCTCGTCAGGCGTGAATCCAATTAGCTAGGTATAAAATAGTGAAGACCAGCCTTAATCCATTCACCCTTTTCGGCCTTGTGTCATAATTGTATTAATTTACAATAAATCTCGACGTCTTATCAGGCAGTTAACTTTGGACGTCGAAACAAATATGCATTTTTGTTGCGGTAACTTGCATGTTCCAATGTAACAGTTTTCGACATAGCGATTGCTACTTTTATTAAAATAGAAATTAACCTACTGGGACGAAAATGTATGGAAAGTGCCTTGACTGCTAGTTCAGGCACGATACATTTGCGTCCAGGCTCTTACAATATATCACCATTCTTGGTTGATGTTATATTGTCACAGTGTGGGATAATCGGGATCACAGGTGGGGGAGAGATAAAGAAAAAGAAAAAAGAAAAAAAACCCAGATAATTTCGGCTAGAAAAAGAAAAAAAGAGAAAAAAAATTCTTTCAAAAATATTCTTTCAAAATTTTTTTTAAACTAACCGCGTCTCTCATTTAGTGCGCATATGTACACGTGGCAACGTCATCAAACACTAGTCCGATGAAATCCTAACTGATGAAACGCATCACAAAAAAAAACCTTTTCCAATTTGTATAAATACTGTTTGCTGATATATAAAATTATACAAAATTATATATCGTTATGTCATATATATATATATATATATATATCCAGCGTCCTAAAAAGGGCTCTGGTGAAATAAATTATTATAATGGAACCATAAAAGTGGTCTGTTTTTTCTTTAAATTTTTATATATATATATATATATATATATATATATATAGTTTATGAAAACTAGGTAATCCGTATGGGTAAACCTAAGCAGGTTAAAATCCAGAGAGCTCAATGTAAATCCAGAGCAAATAATTTAAATAAAAACAGACCACTTTAAGGTTCCATGTAATAAATTATTTCACCACAGCCCTTTTAAAGGACTGCGGATCATCAGACTTTACTTCCAAACAAAAAATGAAAAGAAAATTTACACATTTTTGACGGGCCGTATTAAACATGTGTAAATTAACGAAGTGTGGAAGTGAGGGGGGAGAGAGAATACATGAGTGAGTTAGCAGATATTGACACATTTAAACGGTTAACTTAACGGAATTTATATATTGATATCGAAGGGGTAGAGAAGAAAAAACCCATAGAGAGAAAAAGAGAGAAGGAAGTTAAGAGAGAAGAGGACAGAACATGTCACTAATTTTCTTTGTAAAAAAAGCTAGAAACAGACGCAGTTATTTTGCTTTACTTTGAAAGTGCTATTTTGGGGGTTCATAAAGATTATTTATTTATATATATATATATATATATATATATATATATATATATATAATACTTATAAATTCATACTCGCATGCTTTATTGCATATGTAATAAATTAACTATCTTAATAATCTTTGAGGATTTCCTGTATATATTTGCATGTATCGACAATCAACCAGACTCCCAAGTTGCAGTGATAGTCTCCAAGAAACATTTGCCGGTTTGCATTTGGAAGACAAATAAATCGAATTACATGGCGTTATTAAATCGATTCCTCATCCATCAAGCAAAAAGCAGTATTAAATTAACTTCAGTCAGTGATGTTCCCAGTTCCAAAAGAGCGGACGCTCGCTTCAGTCGCTACTTACACCAGCCGGAGTGTTTATTAATTTCATCAATGGCGTAGGAACGAAAGGACTGGAGCCACGCGCTTGCTTATGTGATTCCCACCAGTACATACAAGCGCACCTGCCGTTTGCCGTAAATCATACCGTCTTAATAGAGATATTGGAATAATTTAAATTCGTCTTCACCAGTTTGTATGCATCGCACTTAGCCAAAGCAACGCTAGTCCGTGTTTTAGAGCGGACCGTTTTTAGGGGAGACGGAGCTAAGAGAAGATGCATTCTTGATGTTTGAGTGGAGACAGCCTTTTTGTAATCTGATGCGCCGGACATATGAGTAGAGACAGCCTTTTTGTAACCTGATGCACTGGAGTTGTGAGTATAGAGAACCTTTTGTAACCTGATGCGCCGGACTTGTGAGTAGAGACAGTTTTTTTGTAACTTGGTGTGATAGACTTGTGAGTAGAGATAGTGTTTTTGCAAGCTTATGCACCGAAATAGTGAGTAGAGACAGCATTTTTGTAATCTGATGCGCTGGACTTGTAAGTAGAAACAGTATTTTTGTAACCTGATGCGCCGGACTTGTGAGTAGAGATAGTGTTTTTGCAACCTTATGCACCGTACTAGTGAGTAGAGACAGCATTTTGTAACCTGATGTGCCGGACTTGTGAGTAGATACAGCCTTTTTGTAACCTGATGCGCTCTCTTATGAGTAGAGACAGCCTTTTTATAACCTGATGCGTCGGACTTGTGAGTAGAGACAGCCTTTTTATAACCTGATGCGTCGGACTTGTGAGTAGAGACAGCCTTTTTATAACCTGATGCGCCGGACTTGTGAGTAGAGACAGCCTTTTGTAACCTGGTGCATCGGACTTGTGAGTAGAGACAGCCTTTTTTTAACGTCCACAAATTTCCCACTTTACGTTCGGATAGAAGGCGTGTAATTCATTTCTGTACTTTGTTAACATGCTTCACATCAATGACCGGCCTGATAATATACTATACTCAGATGGTTTGTAGCTGGGAAGCATTTTGACTGAGGACGATAAAAACAAGACTGAGATCCGTAGACGTATTAGGATGGCATATTCCAAAAGCTGGGCAGAGTATTGCGAGACAGGGGAATTTCTTTGGTAACGAAGAAAAGAATACGGCAGCGAATACTGGACGATTTCCTCAAAGATGAAGAAGAGACCCTAGGCGACGGAGATCTGGTTCTACAGAAGCATACTAAGGATATTATGGGCTGAGCGTGTGAGCAACGATGAGGTCTTAGAGAGGTGGCATTAGAAAGAGGCAGTTTAAGTTTCTGGGACACATAATGAGGAAGGTGGGCCTGGAGAATCTGATACTCACGGGTCGAATAGAGGGAAAGAGAGACAAGGGAAAATAACGGATGGCATACCTAGTGGCTTTAAGCAAGTGGATGCCAGAACGTGATCTGGGGGAGGTGGTAGAGGGAAGGAACTTGTTGAGAGCTGCAAGGGATAGAAGGAGGTGGAGAGCCATGATCGCCTACGTCGTGAAAGGACATGTCCAATAGAAAGAAAGAATGCTAATGATACAAATGAAGTACCAAATCTTCAGGATAGTTGTGCAAAAACAAAGAATTACTAATACAGAAAAACCCAGTAACTGTGGAAAAAGCTGAAAATAATAATAATAATAATAAAATAATAATAATAATAATGATAATGAAATAATAATAATAATAATAAAATAATAATAATAATAATGATAATGAAATAATAATAATAATAATAATAATAAAATAATAATAATAATAAAATAATAATAAAAAATAATAATAATAATACTATTAATAATGATGATAATAATGATGGTGATAATATTATTAATAATGATAAATAAATAAAAATGTTAAAAAATATTTTATTACGAAAAAAAAATTTAAAAGGTCAGTATTAAAAAAATGAATTTGTAAAATTCAAATATGGAAAAATGCTTCATTTTAATTTCAGTAACCAAATCCCAAGCAGTCAACACATGTGTCCCCCCCCATTTAAGGTGTGCTTCTCTGTTCCACCCTCTTTCTACTTTACATAAATGATATACTGTAGAGTATACTGATCATTTGTGGATATCTATGCTGATGATATATATGGGTGGAGCTTCAAAACTCTAGATCACCAGAGATTGGCAGGTGATCTCTTATCTGATTTAGCTGATACTGATAAGAGGCTAACATAGATCGGGTCCAAAGAGGACATAGGTTTGGTTTAGAGTCTAAATAGTCATCTAAGAAATGAAATACTAAATCTTCAGGATAGTTGTACAAAAACAAAGAATTACTAATACAGAAAAAAAAAACAGTACAAAAACAAATACAGTAGAATCCCTCATATCCGGAATCCCTCATATCCGGAATTTCTCATATCCGGAGTGCCTCATATCCGGAATCCCTCATATGCGGAGTGCCTCATATTCGGAAACCCTCATATCCGGACATGATTTTGATGTGTATATTTGAAATATTTGCGTGATGTGTAACTGATTTGAAATTTCTGGTTTTCAGGAATTTTACTTTGGATAATTGCTTATGCTTATTTCCTCCTAATGGCTTGTATTGGTGCAAAAGATGATGGCAATAAGAGGAAAAGAACACCTTTGGAGTTATCGCAAAAAGTGGAAATTTTAAACAGACTAGATGCTGATGAAAGTTCATTGTAACTAATGGCTGAGTTCAACATAAAGAAAGTCAACATTGTATAATATAAAATCTTCCAATAAACTATTTTCCAGCGTTTACACTGTCATAATGAACCAGGAAATAAAAAACATGATTTTGATGAAACCTGGACTGAAATTGAAAAATATATTGAAAAAGTTGTTGGTTTTATGGAAAGTAAGCCAGCATTCAGCTATGACGATTGCAATAACGCACGCAGGGATAAAAAGTGTCTTTGGTTTAAGAAATTTTAAGAACAAAAGCAAAAAGAAATGCGAAAAAATCTGAGAATGACATTAGAAGAGAAAGAATCATTATGCAACAGCGATTAAAAAATCCTCGTAACATTATTTGTTTTGCATACGTGGCATATTTAATTTAATGAATTTTCATTAACATTACATCATTTATTTCTTTTCTCTTAAAATCAATTCCGTTATTTTTCACTCACCATCAGATTATTTTGTTTACTATAAAACAGTAAACACAACTCTCGAAGTATTTTACTCACCACTGCCTTAGTCAGGTATTGAACTCTGAAAAATGTGTGGGTTGGATCCAGTGATTTGACCCAAACAGTTGTGAGTTCAAAACCTGGCTACTGCATAGGTGAACAAACACTTAAAGAGTTGACTTAAAGGGAGACAATCGAGACATCCGGAAGAAGCAAGGCATGTGGAACTAGAACACTCAAAGGGGTTACTGACTGTTAGAGATTATGAAAAAAAAAACATAAAGAAAAGAGAACAATAAAAGAACAAGAATTAAGAAGACAGAAGATAGCTATTGACATTGCAATTAAATTTTGAAGATCAATGTTGACTGGAAAGAAAGTGGCCGGGAGAAAGAAAAATCTGTTAGCATAGAACTTTTACATTACGTTTATTTATATATCTAGCCATTTCATCTGCAAAATGATGAGACCTAACAGCCAATCTAGTACTGCGCATAAATTCGTAAAGCCGGTAGACTACTTATATAGACTTCTTGCGAAAAATCACCTTCGTTGTTCACGGAGCCCAGCACCGAACTCTAGATGCAGGGCTAGGATACCGTAAAAAGTACCTCAAAGTAGGCGGCAGTGTTGTCCCAGAGACGCAGAAATAGGAACTAAAAATCATAGTTCCTGTTTCCAAGGGCCCTTAGAGATAAACTAAACTTAGTGAATTTAAAGGAATCAAGTCAGGAGTGCTAGGGAACAAATTGTAGGTGGTAACACTGGCCCTGATTGAAAAGGCGAGCCCCGATGTTCTCGATGCCCAGGATCATCGTCATAACCAGATGAGCGTTATCCGACCTTCCTGAGGTTCGCACTAAGTGCAATGAAAGCCTTTCTGATTAACTGACCAGTTTAAGAAGTTAGCTATTTCTGAATCGAGACAATTGGCGGTTCGTACCAAAGGTCAAAGCAAGATGCTTTAATTCCCCTATCACATTGGAAGTTAATATATTAATGTCTTTGGTACTTAGGAGAGAGAATACAAGAATGTTTATTTGGCACAGGTCGCATAGCGTTACGGGTACACGAAATAAGTGTTCCCAAATATCTGCCGCAGACTGTAGATCATAATGTGGTGATCTAGATTATTTACAAAGGAATTTGCCCGGAGCTATAGACGTTCTGGATGGTTTTGGATTTTTGTAAAGAAACGATGGATAATTTAGAATATCGGAAAATTGTTCAATCAGTCATTTAATTAAAGCGGAAATATTTATTCGCCTGAGGATCTATCTATCTATCTATCTATCTATCTATCTATCCCAGTCTTTTCATATCTATCTATCTATCTATCTATCTATCTATCTATCTATCTATCCCAGTCTTTTCATATCTATCTATCTATCTATCTATCTATCTATCTATCTATCTATCTATCTATCTCATTCTATTCCTATCTATCACTTTAACTAAGTCATTTTATATCTATCTATCCATCTCTATATCTATATTTCACACGCTTTTTTCTTTCTGTCTCTCTCAGTTTTTCGTATCTATCTATCTTTTTTTACTTTCATTCTCTCTCTCTCTAAGTATGTTTATATCTTTCTTTCTTTCGCACGCTTTCTTTATTTTTTCACACGCTTTCTTTCTTTCTTTCTTTCTTTCTTTCGTTGTTTCCTTCTATCTATCTAACTATCTATCACACGCTTTCATTCTTTCTTTCTTTCTTTTTTGCTTTCTTTCTTGCTTTCTTTCTTTCTTTGTGTACACAGTGTATGTAATATGACGTTTATACTAATAAAAATCGAGCCTCTGTATATATTTTTCTATCAAGTAAGACATCAACAGAGCAACACTGCCACACATATCCACACGTACAAACACATACGTACAGCTACACTCCTGCACTCACACGCACTTACACACACACGCACTTACACACACACATGATTATTTTGAAATTGTTAAGAAATCTTTTTTTTTAAACCAGACAGATTTTTCGGGAAATTGATTTTTTGCTTTTTTCAATACTTATCTACCTTTTGGCCGGTTAATTAAAGCCGAAACATACTCGATGTTTCTAAACGGTTCACTCACCTAAGTACTGACCGGATACGCCATTGCTCAACTTTTTCATTTTCCTAAATTTTTGACGACCCAGTATGTCCAATATTGACCGGCATTTCAATCCAGATCGACGACCCTGCTTCGGATTTCTGCGCCCATACATATGCACATGAATACATAATGGTCGGCTACCAGGCACACCCTTTTGCTAGGCCGATTAGCCAATCCTCATTGTAGACGCCTGCTCAGGCAAATTTGTGTTTGTTAAAAAAAAAAAAAACCACAGGGTCAAGCTGTGCTGTATACAGAAGAGCGTGCATCATCTGGCGGGATCAACAGTTTGCGAAGGCATGTACGCTCAAACCCAAGCTCACGATGACATTATGATTTCGGGCTAGCGAGACAATCGAGGGCACCCAAAATCTGTACCAAATTTCAATCAGAAGACTTGCGTAAACTCGTAGCATGGTTTTCAGACACTTTTCAAAGGTGCTGCATGGCGTTAAGGTCACCTCCATGAAAAAACAACCAAAATGAAGTTTGAACCCAAGATTCAATGTCGGAAAGCAGAAGTTCTCACCACAACACACATATATATATATATATATATATATATATATATATATACATATATATATATATAATATTAGTGGCCAATATATATATATATATATATACAGATTATCTATTTTTCACATTGAGCTCTCTGGATTTTATCCTTCTTAGCTTTACCCATACGGATTACCTAGTTTTTCATAAACTATATATATATATATATATATATTCCCTCTTGGGAATTCATATATATATATATATATATATATATATATATATATATATATATATATATATATATAATTCCCAATATGATGGAATCCAGGTAGAACTCAATGTCCAGGACAGAGTAAGAATATAAAAAAACTCAAACACTAATATTCTATGGTTATAATTTATTACATTGGAATCGTAATCACGATTCAATTCATCAGAAACACACCACTCTAGCGTAATAAATAATATCATTGTTTGAGCCTTTTTTTTTATATATATATATATATATATATATATATATATATATATATATATATATATATGTATCTATATATATATATATATATATATATATATATATATATATATATATATATATATATATATATGTATATAATTAAATATATATATTTAATAATAGCTGGCCACTGGTATTTGAGAATACCTGTCTCCTAGGGCGGTTAGACTCTCCCTTGTTCAACACACACAGTGCCCACTTGTGGTTTATACTGCAACTATGTTGAGCAGACCTTAGTTACAGTTTCTGGGAAAGACCGTCTTACCTTGAGTGATCAAAAATCTGAACAACACCAGCACAAACGGTGACTTGTGACTTCGTGCTAGCACAGCTATCGACGACCCCCAATATATATATATATATATATATATATAGATGAATATGCGGGGCTAAAACGAAGAAATAATCACGACTCAAATGTAAATAAGTATTTATTATCGAAGATTAATTTGAAAGAAATGAATTACAAAGATTCTTTGCGAATCACATTGACAAAAAAATATTTATGATACAACTGAATTTAGAGGAAAATACAGTTAGTATAGAAGCAACAGAAGAATGCGTCTTCATGAGAAAATATGAGTCACGTATTTCCATTGTTTTGCGTATGTGTACAGTTTTGTAGCAGTCGGCAGCTGATATGAAGCAGCCAGAACAGTAGGCGAAATTGCGTTATTGATACTAATGCAAAACACTATTGTTAACAATTAGCTCGGTTCATCTGTTTTTAATCTGTCAATATCGCAATATTTTTCTGTAACACGGTATACTTGAATAAATATGCAAAAATGTGAGTAATTAATTAAGGTTAGATAATTTCAGTTTGTACAGCAACGAACAACGTCTGGCAAAGGTTAACAAACTAATTTTGTGAACTAAGGAAAAGGAAAACCATATATAGATAGAGATACAAATAGAGATATATAGATAGATAGAAAAAGACTGAGAGAGACATATAGAAACAAAGAAAACTTGGGGAAGATAGATAGATAGATAGATAGATAGATAGATAGTGAGTGAGTGAGTGAGTGAGTGAGTGAGGGAAAAGGAATATAGGGATCGATTAATTTGCACAATGGTACGGATAAATAGATAGATAGATTGATAGATAGATATGGATAGGAGATAGATAGATAAGAACAGAATGAGATAAATAGGAACAGATTGAGATAGATATATATTGGTTCTAAGAAGACTAAAAATTGGATTTTATTAATCTTGTAAGTTTATTATTGGTTAATAAATATTTCCCAATTTTTAGATATCCATTTTAAGCTAGTCATTTTCTGTAGTAATCTTACAAAATCTCAGAGTAGCAAATCAAACTTTAATTAATCTGCAAATTCAAATACTGCTCAAATGACGTCGATGATTGCTTAACAAATACAGATATAAAATTCAAATTTTAGACCCGACCACTGCGCACACACACACACACACACACACA